TGTGTGTGTGTGTGTGTGTGTGTGTGTGTGTGTGTGTGTGTCTGTGTGAGAAAGAGGGAGAGAAAGGGGTCCTGCCCAGAAGATAATATTATCTCCAGAGCCTGTCCAGGCCCCTGTGGACCATCCAAGGGTCAAAATGAGTCTCAGAGACCTTAGCAGCTGAAGCCTCTCCACCTTCCAGGGCCTGCAGCTGTTTCGCAAAGAGCCCAAGGCTTGGGTGTCTGGCTCAGTCCAGCTAGCCCTAGTTTCCGACTGCCAAGCCCTTGGCCCGCTGGCCCTACGCTTGATGGCCCCTCATGGGTTCTGACCTTCTGGCCCCAAAGCGGGCCTGGTTGGGTGACAACAATCTGCTGCCTAAAGATAAGCCAACAGCATGTCAGCCTGCACCCTGGCTGGTGAAGACCTCGCTGTCCGGGTGGTGGCCCGCTCCTCAGGGTCCCCTCCCCTCCCTAGCTCACGCAGTGATCTGAAGGCATCGGGGACTGGACTCTGTCAGCTGTCTTCCCGCAGCTTCCTTTGTGCCCAGCACCTTCCACCGGCGAGGGCCCCATGGAGCTCAAGTGGAGGGGGTCGGTAAGACAGGGAACTGAGTCCAGTGGTCTGGGAGGGCGGGGTGAATGCCTCCAAAAATGCAGGGGTCTGAGGGTATTGGCAAAAGAAAACCCGAGTGAACAGTATCACAGTTGTCCATCTTTCAACCCAACAGATGTACTGAACTGATAATACACAGGCTGGCCCGGTGTCGTGTTGACAAAACAGGCAGCCAGAACAAGGACATTTCTTTCCATAAGGGGCCCCCAATGGGGCCCTGTGTCCACCAGCACAGCCACAGTGCTCACCAGAACCGTCGGATGGCAGGCTCTTTGAGAGACCCCGTGGGCTATGATAGCTCCTCGCTCAACCTCCTAGCCCTCTGCAGATACTGCTGCTCTCTCTGGCCTCCCTCCAGGTGGACATCTAGAGAGAGATGCCTGGACTCACTAGCTCTGCTCTCTCTCCTCCTTTTCTCTCCCTGAGCGCGCTCCAATCAGGCTTTCATCCCGGCACTCAACACCACAGCCACGGGCCAGTAGCTTCCCTGTGCCAAAGCTGATGCTCAGTCCTCAGCCCCCTGACTTCCTCTGAGCGGGTTCCTCCTCGGAGTCTGACATGGTCCCCTTTCCTTCTTCCTGGCTGACTGCTCCGTCTCAGACGCCCCTCCTGGCTTGTCCTCCCCTCTCCACCCTTCCCTGCTGGCCAGTCTCAAGCTCCATTCCTGGGACCCCCTTCTTCCTACATTGCTCCCAGGTGGTCTCACACAGTGTTATGGCTTTAGACACCTTGGGGGATTAGGCACTGGGCTGCCAACTGCAGGGTCAGTGGTTCCAATTCACCACTTGCTCCAAGGAAGAAAGATGAGGCTTCCTGCTCCTGTAAAGGCCGGCAGCTTCAGAGGCCTAAAGGGGGTGCGGGGGCTGCTGTTCCACTCTGTCCTGTAAGGTCACCAGGGGCCACAGTTGACTGGACGGCAGTGAACTTTATACGCAACAGTTTCCCAACGGCTCTCATGTTCCGATTCACTACCCAACTCTGGGCTCATGTATCGAACTGCTTCCTCATCAGTGCCCTAGCTCTGTGCCTACACACATCTCAATCTTAACATGTCCCCCAAAGAATCTTGATTCACCGTCCTCCTACTCGGTCCCACCTGGTCCTCCTCCTTCAGTCCTGCCAGGCTCAGCAAGTGGCACTACCATCTCCTAAAACGTTCAAGCCGGCAACTTGAGACTAGCATGAGAAAGCTTCTCACCACCCCCACTCCCCAGTGGAAACATATCCCCAGTCTCCGCGGTTCCTCGGCCCTGCTGCAGGGACCCCACCGTGAGCGTTCTCCCCCATCCTATACAGTCACCACGAGTCAGAACCGACTTGATGGCAGTGGGTTTGAGGGAGAAATTGACGCAAAGGGAGGGGTGAAGGCAATGCCAGCAAGGAGGTAGAGGGTGGGCGCAAGCCAGGGCATGCTGGTGGCCCTCAGAAGCTGGACAAGACCCAGAACAGCTCCCCCACCCCCCGCCCCCGTGACGTGAGAGGGCACAACCAGAAAGGAAAGGTAAGCCTATGTCCATCACAATGGGATTGTATGTGTGATACACTGTCAGGTTCCAAAACGATTTCCCCAAACACCGGGTAGAATCACAATAGAACAACAGACAGTCCTGGACAGAGTGTGAGGAAGAACGCAGCACAAAATCCAAAATCATAAAGAAGACCAAACTCACTGGTCCGAGAGCCTGGTGAAACCCTGGCGACTCTGGCCTTTGACCCCTTCAAACCTGGAACTGGACCCGCTCCCAAAGACTACCCGAGAGCCAGACCCCAGCCAGGCTAGAGTTGGCAGGGGAACCCATGAGGAACAGGCTCCTCCAGCAATCCATCCCTAGGGACCACAAGGGAAGGGTTTGCCCCCAATGTTCAGAAGGTGACAATGGGCAGGAAGAAAGCATGGATGGAAACAGGAAACCCCGGGGAGGAAGTGGGTAGAGGGCTGTCCCGTGGATGGGGGCACAATGAATGTCACAAAGTACAGGCGTACACACTGTGATACAGGAGACAAACTGGCTCTGAAACGTTCGCCCGCACCACAGGACAATGTTCCCATCTATATGTGGGTGTAGGAGGGTACCATTTTTGTAAAAGCAAAAAGTCATAAGCCCTTTGGGTACTCGTCGTTAGGTGCCACGGCATCCGTGTTGACTTACAGTGATCTCACGGGACCCAGTGGAAGTGCCTCACGGGGTTTTTCGATTGCAATCTCTTTATGCCAACACATCCGCCAAGTCTTTTCCCTCTCTCAGAGCTGCTGAGTGGATCCAAACCGTCAACCCCTCAGTTGGCAGCCCAGCACTTAGCCAGTGCACCCCCAGGGTCTCTTCGCTGGTAGATGGCCAGAAAAAGCGGGAGAGCCATGGCCTGAGGGCACCGCGGTGTCGCAGGTTGTTCATGTTAGTTACTAGGTGCCCCATGTCGGGCCCACCCACAGGGGTCACAGATACAACAAAAGGAAACCGCACTGGGTGCTGTGCCAACCTCGCCATGGGTTCCATCTTCAAACCACTGCGTTAGTCCGCAGCATCCAGGGTCTTCTTTTGCGCTGACCCTCTACTTTACCAAGCATCGTGCATCTGGCTTAGGCAAAAAAAATCCCCCAAAGCCAAACCCACTGCCACTGAGTCAATACTGACTCATAGTGGCCACTCGTGGGTTTCTGAGACTGTAACTGTGTAGAAGAGTAGAAAGCCCAGCCTTTCTCCCGAGGAGCTGCTGGTGATTTCCAACTGCAACCCCTGTATCACCAGGGGTGCTGTAGGTCTGGCTTCGGTTAGGCTACGTTTATCTCTGTACGACGTGTGAGTGTGACTTTTCTCAAGACGGCGCCGTTGAGGAGCTGTTTCGCAGCGGGTATTGACACAGTGGCAGTGCGTTTGGTTTTGCATTTGGAAGACAGGTGGCAATGTTGACGTGCCCCATGTCCCCAGGGATCCCGCTCCATTCACCTTGACTGCATCTGGAGCCACACATCCTCGGGCAGCTCTCAGCTCCTACGGTTTCTTTCCCTCCTGTTCCACTGTCTCTTGCCTTTGGCCAGAGGCTGGCCATTGGCGCCTTCTCCTGACTGTAGGCCTCCCCTCCTTGACCTCTCAGGGGCTGGCCACGAGTTCAAAGCTGTGCAGCCTGGGCTTGCGTCCCTCTGCGCCATCACTACCTACTCACACTTCCATCTCCCTGGACCTGCTGAGCAGTTCTCTCCTGGGAACCCGTCTTCTAGCCCACCTGCCCCTTTTCACCTCCCCCAGAAGCCTTACTGGGGCGCCTCCTGCTTTTGAGGTTGCATGGCTTCCTGCTACTGTAGCACGTTCATTTACAGGCCTGCCTGCTGGAGCCCAGTGCAGACCACTGCCAGCCCAGCTCACATACCAGCCTGATCTGACTCGACTCTCACAGCCCCCTGACTTGGGAGTTACCATCCCTCTGTGGAGGAGGAGGAAACATCGGCATGAAAAGGCGGCATGACTTCATTGAGATCCGCAGCTAATAAACCCAATCATTAGAATTGGATCGCAGGCCATCTGATTCCAACACCTCTGGCCTGGAATTGCAGGAAAGGAGTAGGAAGTTAGGTAAGTAGGAAGGGAAGGAAGGAAGGAAGGAAGGAAGGAAGGAAGGAAGGAAGGAAGGAAGGAAGGAAGGAAGGAAGGAAGGAAGGAAGGAAGGAAGGAAGGAAGGAAGGAAGGAAGGAAGGAAGGAAGGTGGATAGTTAGGAAGAATGTTGGGTAACTGCGAATTCAGAACATCAGTTAGTGGGGAAGTGGAGAAGGAGAGAGAAAGGGAAAAGCAGCTGGAAGCACAGATATTAGGAAAGAAGGGAGAAGTTAGGGAGATGAGATGAAAAGAAATTGGAGAAGTAAGGAAGGAAGGAAGCTGAGAAAGAGGTTAGTTAGCGGGGTGACTGGTCAATTCAGCAGACTCAGCAGCCAGGAAGGCAGGCAGCTACCCCAGCTCTCACCTGCAAACTCTGGATCCCAGCTCAGGTGCTGGGGAGCAGCCTGGAAAACGGCTCGGCCCTCCTCTCTCTCTCCATGGTCCTTCTCACCTGAAACCCAATCCTGACTTTCTCAGCAACCTTCTCTGCCTGGAGCGACCTGTCACCCACTCACCAGGGCTCCCAAACCGGCTCTAAGCTCCCAGTCCCAGCTCTGCCTGCTGGGAGCTGGCTTCGAGCTCTCCCAGTTACTAATTAACCATTGATCTGAATTATGATGCCGGTTGCACCCAATGGCTCCTGGGCAGGCCCTGCCCTGGGGACCCTCTGGGCATGGAAAGGTACTGCACCGCTGCAGCTGCGTGACCTTGGCCAAGTGACTTCAGCTCTGCTGTTTACATCAGTTGCTGATGGCAAGTGTCCTGCCTTGCACGGAGGGTCTCTGAGGCCCCCTTTCAACACTGTCACTCATTCCCAGTCCCTGAAATCCCATCTCCTAGTCAGGCTCTAGCCCTAGTGGTGGAGTGGTTATGAGTTGAGCTGTGATCTGAAGGGTCAGCAGTTTGAAACCACCAGCCGCTCCTCGGGAGAAAGCCAGAGCTTTCTACTCCAAAGCCCACAGGGGCCGTTCTACCCGGTCCTGTAGGTCGCTAGGAGGCGGCATTGACTCGATGGCAGTGAGTCTGGTTTGGGTTGCCAAGCTCCACTCAAACACGGACTCTTCCAAGAAGCATCCCCTGACCCCGCCCCGCCCCCCCACTGTGGAGCCTCAATCCTTTCCCAGAGACCAAGGAGGGCTGAGGAGAAGAGGTGTTGTCTCAACCCTCTTCCCAGTCCCCTGTGCAGATGGGTTCCTCCAAACCCTGTTCATTGTGTGACACCTCTGATCTGCTTCCACCTCCCTCCCCATCGGACACCCCTTCCCTTCTTCCCAGCCCCACCCCCCCTCTGGCCCGGACTTGCTGTTAGTCTTCCAAGAGTGCATCTTTGGGTGGCAAGACCATTTTTCTTTGTCTCCTAAGAATGGTGTCGGGCAGGATTTGCCTTTAGGAGGTCCACTGACTTTGCTGAGCCTCAAATCTTCCAAATCTGTCCATGTCATGAGGTGTTCAACAGTTTCATCATTGCGTTTTAATTAGAGATGGATAATAGATCATTGTGCGCATGTACCAGAGTTTACCCATCCCTTCCTCCACAGGCCGACTACTGGGTTGTTTCTTTTCTGCCCTTGTTTGGAGCCAAAGCCTGCCTCCCACAGCCCACTTATCCTGGCACTGCCCTGGGAGAAGATTCACAGCTTAATTGAGACCTGCTCTCTCTGCTTTTTAGAAATCCCAGGTCTGGGGAGACTTGCTCCAGGTCTGGGAAGACTTGCTCCAGGTTGACCCCCAGCTGCCCAGGTGAGGAGGGCCGCCAGTGATCTGTTCTCAGGTGGCAACTCGGCCTGATGTTCACCAGGCTTCATCGGGCACTCTCTCATTAAAAGGTCCATGGCGTGCCAATGATTCTACGGCCTTAAAAACTGTCGGCTCTAACGTGCTCCGGAGGATCCCCAAATTGTCACACTCTCCTCCCACTTCTTCCCCAGACACTGGTCTGTAGGTCTGGCCCCAACCCAGAGAGGGGAGGTGGCTGGTCCCAGCGCACAGAACAAATCAGGGCAGAGCCCAGCGCCCCACCCCTTTGCAGGGCTGCTCAGCAGCTCCACCAGGCTCCGCCCCCTTTGCACACACACACACACACGACAGCCAACACACCCACAGTGGTATTTTGTAACCTGAATCACAGCATTCCGGCTCATGTGAAACAAAAAGCGAAAGCTTCTTTCCCAACACATCTTCGACCTCATTTCCAAAGATGACCAAGCCCATCGCTGCTGATTCCGACTCAAAGCAACCTTCCAAGACAAGGTAGCAGTGCCCCGCAAGAAGAGGTGCGCAGGCTAGCATCCTTACAAACCGCCACATCTTCCCCCTGCAGAGCGGTTCCTGGGTTCAAACTGCCCACTGACTGGTGACCAGCCGGGCGCTTAACCACTGCGCCCCACGCACGGCTCTTAGGAGGGGATTCTTGTGAGGTACCATTGAATCAGTTCCAACGCATGGGTCCCCGTGTACAAGGGAACATAAGCAGGGCTCCATCCTGATCACCTGCACAACCATTGCTGTGTGAGACCATGGTTGCAACCACTGTGTCGATCCATCTCTTTGACGGTCCCCCTCTTTTTCACCGACCGTCTACTTTACCAAGCATGACGTGCTTCTCCGGGGGCTGGCCCCTCCAGACAAACTGGCCAAAGGATGACAGATCAAGCAGGTATAGTGGGAGGGGGAGGGAGAGGGGGAAAAGAGGATCTGATACCAAGGGCTATCAGTAGAGACAAAATGCTTTGGAAACGATGATGGCAACATATGTATAAATGTCCTTGATACAATTGATGTATCAAGATTGTTATGAGCTGTAAGAGCCCCCAATAAAATGATTTCTTACAATTTTTAAAAAGACAGATGTATAAAATTTTTTTAAATCAAATAGAACTGCCAGGTCGATTAAAGATAAACGGGTCCCTTGCTTCATTCTTCAGCTGCCTTAGCAGTTTCCTTGCATTGCTGTATCCACGGGTTTCAACAGCACAATTATATTGGCATCCCTCCATCTTTGTCTTAAAAATTACCAAGGGGCTGTAAACTGATGGTGATAGCAACTGCATGTCCTACTTGGCGTGATTGAAATTTGGAACCATATATGTATTAAATCCCAACTAAGAATAATTATTGAAAAATAGTAAAAGATAAAAATTTGGAAATCATCACAGGCATACCATTACCAAGTGGTATGATTCCTGGCATACCTGTGGGCATGAGGTGTCAGCTCTTACCACGCCAACACTTACTTGTGTGACCTTTTACTTTCCCTGAAGCTAACAAGGGTCTCGTTTAATGGTTTCAGATTCTTAAGTTAATAGGGAAATGCCATTCTTTTTCTACACATTGCTGGAAGCCCCCTCATATATGACCCTCTTCAGCTCTATGGGAAAGATGGTCCAACCCTCCTTCGGCCCTCTCGCTCTCATTTTGCTTGTGGCTTCTCCACCTTCCTTCCTCTTGGTCTTCACCCAGCCAACTGCTCTCACTGGACAACTGTCCACGTGCCAACTGGTCCTCCCTGTCCCTGCCACTCTGGAAACCCCCCTTCCTTTGTGGTTTGTCTGTTACCTCCCTCGTTTTATTTTTCATTTACTCTTTCATCCTCCAATGGTTTTCCGAGGAAAGGCAGAAGGGAGGTAACATGGTGAGACCTTGTGTTTGGGAACGGATCACGAGTTCGCTGGGTACAGCCTTCCGCTGTGGAAATGTGGTGAAGACATTCTCTCGCGCCTTCTCATGTCCAACATGGAGAAGCACCAGGTTGATTGATACTCCCTTGGAGGACACCTGCCCGCTCGTCGCCGGCAGCTTCCTGGCTCTCATCATTCTGACACTGCACAAGTCATGGTAGCTCGGGGCCTTGGCTTTCGCAGCCGCGGTGCTGGGCATTCAGTGAGGCCTTTCAGCATAGCGAGTAGTGTTTCTCAACTCTTGACCAATCTCCTTTTTCACTTACAAATGCTCGTTTTCTCTCCCACTGAGACGATTCCCCCCACCCCTTCTTTGCTATTTTCTGTCTTTTTATTCTGCTTCCTGGGTGACAGGACCACCATCTTTCAACCTCTCTGTGGAATTTGATCTCTGTAATCGCATGCTAATTTCCAAGGGCCCTTCTTGCCCCATGATGTTCATTGTCATAGCAGGCATGACTGAGTAGATTGGGTCATCTTCCCCAGAGGGAAGGATGAGGGAACAATGGATAAGGGTGGGTGCATACTTACCAAGGTGGCAAGCATGTGGTGTTTCTTCTGATGACGTCCCTGGGACAAAGGTTATGAGGACATCTACTGAGATGGCAGGGAGATCAGGGGGCAGAGGCTTGAGGAGCATCAAAAAGGAAGTCAGAGCAGGACAGCTGGACAACTGCCCACGTGTCAAGCTGGCCCTTGTACAATTCCTCAATTCCTCAGACATGGAAGCTCCTAATCAAAATGTGAGAAAAAAACAAAAGGGGGACAAGGGGAGGGCTTGGGCGGCATCCTTGGTATTCTCTTAGCCAACTGGTTTGTACAGGTAGCAAAGAAAATAGAGGAATGATGGCAAGAAAAAGGTCAGAGACATCAAATGGGGCGGGCCTCCCAATTCCCTGCCTGCTCAGTCTCTGGGAACCTTCAGGCATTCTCTTGATGCCGCTGGATGTTTCCGCCACCTGACAGTCTGGGGTTTGAGAATATGGAAGACCTCACTCAATGGTCTGCTCTTAGACCTTTATACACATGGTTATTTCACATGGCTCCGAGGGGCCACACTGCTTAGACTCCTCAACCCAGAGAAGTAAGCCTCCCCACTTATCCCTCTCCCTGGTTTCCTGGCTTTAACGCGGTGTCAAGAGCTGATCATTCGGGGCCTTCAAATCATAGCAGAGAGACCACGCCAGTCTCTCCCATGGAGGTAAGACATGAAATCATTCTATGATTGAACCGTGACAATAGAAACAGACTTGGGCTGCATACCAGCCAGTTGACTTGTTCAAGTTTATTTATGTTGTTCCAAAACACTGACAAAACACACCACATCTTGTCATTTTTTCTCCTCCTGTGTGCCGACGACACAGATTCACAAGAGTCAATTGACATCACACCAGAGGATTCTCCTCAGGAGCACATGTTCACACATTTATTCTCCTGCACACACACACACACAGGCAACACAAAGAAGGTAACTCCACCAAAGTGCTTACAAATGAAAGTGCAAAGAAGCTTCGTTTTCCCATCTGCGCCCACTCACTCTGCTTGGGGAATTACACTGAAAGGCTCTTGCTGCCCGGGACTAGGGCTGGGCTGGGCAAGGGCTGGGTGAGGCTGACGGCAGGGGGGGCAAAGGGCAAGTTTGGAGAATCGGGCAGAGGGCACACGGACACCAAACCACCACCAACTCCCTCTTCCTTGCTGCGCTCCCAGGGCAAGGTGCAATGGTTTCCTTGGGAGCACGGGCGGGCGGGAGTGAAGGGAGGCCAGGTTGGGCAGAGGCAGCCTTCTTACGTTCCAGAATTGGGTTTCTCTCCCAGGAGGCGGCATTTGTGCAAAAAGTGCGGAGGCCTCAGCACTTGGAGGCCTGGGGCCCCTTCCTCCAAGGCCATTGGGCCCCCCTGCCTCTCTCTTAGGCAAGCATCGGGAGTGCAGTTGGCAGATCCATGAGGTACATCTCAGGGCCTCTCTTCAGAAGCTCGGCAAGGTACCAGGGCCCCAGCGGTGCAGCCCTGCTGCCTGCTGCTCATATCACAGTCGCTGAGCTGAGGCCAGGGAGCCGCTGCCCCAGCAGCCAAGATCAGAGATGCCCAGACTGGCTCCTCTTCCCCCGTGGTGAAGGGGCCCCAGTGTAGCCTCTGCCAACCCAGCCCTCACCAAGTTGGCTTGTCCCGTTTCCTCCTGGGAAGGCTATGCTCAGAGCTGCCTCTAAAGGCTGAGAGGGGAGGACTGGGTCCAAAACTTGGAATCTCGAGAGAGTTCACCTGGGGCTGAGTGGCTGCCCTGGCCAAGCTGCCTGGGCCCATGCGAGGG